TTTTTTTTTTTTTTTTTTTGGGGGGGGGGGGGGGGGGGGATGAAGACACCCTCAAGGACAAACCTCAGAGTTTGTACCCTTGAACAACCCAAATCTATGCCAGAAGGTGCTACAAATCTGGGAGAATTCTCACATCAGTTTTCACCTGAAAACAGAAAGGCTGCCCTAAGTGTACAGTCAAGATCATATATTAAATTCAAGACAATGACAAACAAATGCACTTTTCCAGGTGACATATGGCACAATCCCCAACTTCACAGTAGTCTAGAAGTGCATGTGCTACTGTCCCTTCTTCATGCATATGCAATCCCCAAATTACATATTAAAATATGCAGTTACTCATATTTAATTTTATACAATACCTGATCACAGAGGGACTGTAAAATGGAAGTTACATATTCAGTGCACTGCTGATGAATAACATTGTCCCCAGCAGATCGCATTAAAGCCAAGAGATCCTGGAAAACTTCCACATACTTTTCATCACCTTTAGCTGTTCCACTAATTAGATGCAAAATGGCTAATTTACAAGCTTTGTGTGAAGCCAGGGCATCAAGTAAAGCAAGTAATCGGGCAGTCTGGCCAGTGTACTGTTTCTCTTTATCTTCTGTGCTGCTGAAACAACATTAATGTACTTTAAAAATCAGTGCTCTTACATATTAGAGTTAGGAAGACTTTATTTAGAGCAGTGGTTTCTCAGCCTTTTCAAGACACACCTCAGAAAATGTCAGCTCTTAGCTTTCTCTCTTTTTTTTGCATACAGAAAAATAACAGAGCAATTCTTCTGTTACAAACAACTCGAAAGACCACAACAGGTCAGAATGTTTTCAGCACTATAGATTCCTACTTGAAATTTCTGGGTTTATATCTTATGAATCATGCTTGCACACCTAACATTACTAACACTGCACGACACCCTTGAAAGGATTAAAAGAGACCCTGGTTAAAAATCAATACTATACAGTATAATCCTTTTCAATATAGTAGGGTTATATATCAAAGAATTGTGAATGTTAAACAAAACCTGTAGTTTATGTACTTAGATGTTTCTGTCTTCATTCATATTCCTGGAAAGTAGGGATGGTTGTCGCATGTAAATTGATTCAATATCTATTTAATAATAGATAATACAACTAAGTATATAAGGACAGATGTACCCTGCTCATAACTGTTTTAACTTTTTTCCCCAACAGTTCTTAAAAATACACACAAAACGTATAATGATCTAAATTAAAAAACAACACGACTTGCTTGTTTGGCAACGCAGGGCACTGTAGTAGACCCAAGTTGAGGATTCATCCAAGTCTGTTCTTGATAAATTAAAACTTTAAAAATCCGTGTTCTTCACTTGACAAAATTGGTGCAGAAAATGGAGGTTAAAACTTCTTTGGGTATTTAAAAAAAATAACTTTGTGCAAAGAACATAAAAATACCTTTGCTGATCTTCCACAATCAGATCCAAGACTGTCCTCATGATAAGAAGGGCAGTTGGTGCAGCCAAGTCACACAACTGAACACAGATACGCCTCAGCATATGCTGAATTGGCTGGCAAGATGAGCCAGAGAAAGAACGAACTATTTCTTGTAGCAGTTTGGCTTGAACATGAAGATGCATACTCCACAGTTTTCTGGTGTTGAGTGCCACTGATATGTCATGGGGTTCAATTACCTGTGAAGGAACAGAGTACTTTAAAAGAGTTATAACAGCTCATTTCAGCTAGAGAGAAAAACAAGCAGTAAGGACCAAATTCTGCCCCTCTCAGATGCTTCTGATTTAGTGATATCAACAAGAGCTGCAAACATCGCAGGCATTTAGACCCTTATTAGAAGCTAAACTAATAACCATCTCAACAGACTAGGTATGTTTGGGGAACAGGTTGTAATCCCACATCAGAGCAAATGAAATCTTAAAATTAGCCCACATATTTATATTCATTTGTTTCAGATCAAAAAATGTAAAATACCACCATAGGGAGCCTTCACATACACTAAGAAATTGAAACATCTCTATGCAACTCGTTTCTACATTTAGTATTGCACACAAAAGCTGCAAGGTTTATTATTAAGTAACACAGTGAAACACCAGAGTGCGAGTAGTAAATAAGTGACCGACAACGTAAAATTGATCAGAATCAACCATTTTTTTCCCGAATACTCTATTATCAAACACAAAATATGCACGAGCTGATTTCTGATGAGCCATTAAATATACCTCAAAACAAGCTACTTAATTAAAATCTTTTTAATAGCTTTCAGGCCACCCTTTTATTCACTTAAAGAACATGATCCATAAGGTGGTACTTGCGACTAATTAAGCTTCTGTTTATATTGAAATTATACCTGAGTTGTTTGCATCGGCAGTGGAAGAGGCAGCAATTCTGAAAGAAGTATAAGTCCAGAGAAAAATCCTTCAGGAATTCTCAAAATTGAAGAGAGAACCTCTTTTAGCATTAAAGACCAAGTATTATTGGCCAAAGTTTCTTCTGAAATTGTAAGTTTTTCATTAACTCCCTGGGTAAAGGTCAGCAAAATATCAATAATATCGTTCTGAATTTTTTGTTCATCATTATCTAAGCGGCCTGAGAGAGGGATGGAACACAGCAGCATATGTAAAGAAACAAGAGCTGAAGGAACACGCATGTCTTTAAACTCAAAAGAGCCCCCTCTCAGGAGTTCAGTTAACATTGTTTTAAGGAGAGTAAGTGTACATCGGGCCATGGAAATGGTAGTAACTCTGTGAACTGTGGTTCCCATATTGACATGGAGTCTCCAAGGTTGGATAAGAATACTATTCAATTTCTGCAAAACACGAATGAAGGTGTCCATTCCTTCAGCAGAAAAAAGCTGAATAACTGCAAGGTTCCATTTTAGATCCTTCTGTTGACCTGTAAATGGGGGGGAAAAAAAACAAACACTTTTCTGTACACCTTATCTTTTTTCAGCAATCACAGTTACATTTTAGGTGCGACTAAATTGGAGGCACTTGGAGAACTAATATTTCTATATCAATAAATGAAGACATATCTGTATTATACCTTCAACAGGAGGTGGTGGGCATGCAACATGACAAAGAACCCGGAGGGCAGTAGGAAGACCAACTCCTTCTGGGGTCATCAGACTATCGATATTCTTAAAAAAAAAAAAAAGTAAGGACATTTGTTATAAGCAATTATTTTTGACCAAAGACACACCTGATACATTACAATAACCTGTTTTACTAGGCTGGAATCTGAAAAGCAATCATCATAATGTTATAAAAAAAGTGAACTGATTACTTATTAGATAGACTGAAGAACATTAATATTTCCAACCTTATTCATACTGTGCAGACTTGGCAGCACCAAAAGTTATCATGTTACTGCTCAACTGTATAAAAAGAGTACTACCATGCTGACAAAATGCACAAACATACAATTTTTTACAAAAAGCTTTAGGCTGTCATACTACATTCTGTACTTTACATTCCATCACAGATTACTGATAGAATATTAACATTTTTTAACATTGCTTGCTTTCATAAAAATCAGCCTACTTCTCCTCCCTAATTCAGTGTCATCCCTTTGTCATAGAAGCCACTGAGACTTTGTTGGACTGAATCTTCAAGAATGGGAAGGACAGACTAACTGTACAGGCAAAAGCTTCTAACAAGTTACTTCATTTGGAAAAAAGTTAGCAGTGAAAGAAATACTTGTATGAAACATTTGTTTTATTAACATACAATTTTGTTACAGATTGTGCTGTGCACCAACTTCTGTCCTCAGTTACGCCATCTTGATTGGCTGAATATATACAACAAAAATCCGACCCCAAATATAGGCCTTAAAAGAAATCTAGTTTCCATACAAACAAGTGTATTTCTTAGAAGTGGCATATGAGGGCAATGGTGGGGACAAGCAGCTGCTGTGGCTCAGGCTCCAGCCCTTACCAGGGGTCAGGGGCATACCTGCTGCTACTGCCTGCCCCCCCTGCCATCTCCCCACCTCCCCCCATGTAGCT